ATAACCTCTCTTCAGTAAAGATAAAAATGAAACATTCTTTGGGCTTCAAAGATATAGAAAATGGCCAGGTGGTAGTGGTGCATGCCTTTAATCTCAGCACTCAGGAGGCAGATGTAAGTGGATTTCTGTGAGTTCAAGGTCAGTGGTCTACAGAGTGAGTTCCAGGACAGCCAGGTAAACACAGAGAAACCCTGTCTCGAAACAAAAACAAACAACAAAACAAAACAAACAAAACCCTATAGAAAATGAAAGAAATATTATTTGAAGATACCCATATCACACACAAATATATATTCCTTAACATACTAAATTATTTTGAAATAATTACTTAACACAGTAATAATTAACACATTAATTTTGAAAAGGCCCCAAAGGATTCTTTTTTGATTCTTCTGATTTTCCGAGACAGGGTTTCTCTGTAGTTTTCGAGCCTGTCCTGGAATCAACTCCTTTTATTTATTTATTTACTTATTTATTATGTATACAATATTCTGTGTGTATGCCTGCAGGTCAGAAGAGAGCACCAGACCTCATTATAGATGTTTGTGAGCCACCATGTGGTTGCTGGAAATTGAACTCAGGACCTTGGGAAGAGCAGGCAATGCTCTTAACCTCTGAGCCATCTCTCCAGCACCCTGGAACCAACTCTTGTAGACCAGGCTGGGCTCAACTTACAGAGATTCACCTGCCTCTGTCTCCTGAGTGGTGGGATTAAAGCTGTGCATCACCACTGCCTGGCTGTTCCAAAGGATTCTATCACAGGATATTTATTATTCTGAGTAAGTAACAAGTCATATAGTTACCCATAGTTACCACATAGTTACCCTGTTACTCATGAATTTTCTTCATTACAATTTCTCATCAAGATTTTTTGTTGTTATTGCTTAACTTTATTTTATGTGCACTGGGATAAAGATGTCAGATCCCGGGGAATGGAGCTACAATTGTGAGCTGCCATGTGGTTGCTGGGAATTGAACCGGTCCTCTGGAAGAGTATCTCTCCAGGCCCTCATCAAGATTTTTTTTATATTATTTTTTTATTTACCCAAAAATACATTTTCATCAAGATTTTGTTAATAATTTATATTTGCTTAGGTAGGAGTACATTCAATACTACTCCAGCTAAATGTAAATTTATGCAGACTACAGCGTTAAGTTTCTAAGAAATTATATTTATTTATATATTAGGAATGAGGGGAGCAATGTGTCACAGAACACATATGAAGGCCAGAAAATAACTTTCTGGAAGTTAGTTCTCTCCTCCTAGTACTGAGTCATCTTTCTGTTCCTATGTAGTTTATATTAACCAAGGTAGGTGTTTAGGAAACATTTTCTATACGACACAATTATAAAGCTTGTCATTTCTGCTAAAATACATAATAGGAATAAATAATACGACTCTGATGTTTTCTACTTTTTTCACAACTAGTGGCATCCAATTTCAGCATACATCCCAGATTAGTATCAAAGTACTTAACAGCATTACAGAGGAACTAGTCAATGGTAAAGTGTGTAATTTTGTATGTGTACATGTAAAAGGGTGGTAGTGAAATTCTATCTGTAGGGGCTGGAGAGAAAGTTCAGTGTTTAAGACAGCTTACTGTGCAATCATAAGAACAGTTCAGATCCCAGTACCTAGACAACAAGCTAGGCATGGTCCTGTATACACCATCAGCAACCACTGAGTCGGACTGGAAAACAAGGTCACATAGCAACAGATAGGTCCAGAGAAAGGTTCTGCCTCAAAATAAGAAGGCAGCAAGTAACAGGACACCCAGTGCCCGTCACTGGTTTTTATGTACACTAAGGTGTTTATACCTGAACACTTACACAGATATACCACACAAAAAAATCTATTTCAGTTAGAATAGACTAAGGTTTCGTAAAATACTATGTACTTAGGTCACATTCAAATCAAGCATTAAGAGACATTCATTTTGTTGTTTTTAAAGGTCCCATGTATTAGAAAACGGTCAACACTTTACTATATGGTTTCACTTGATCTTCAGACACTTCATAGTATCCTATAGTATTAATATGATTCCTCAGATGGTAAATTCAAGTTTACTCTAACAACCTAGCAGCTATTAAGTAACAAGTAAAGTCCAAATATTCTCAACAACTTCAAAAACATACTTTTAGAAGGGACATATACAAATGTGGCTACAGGTACCTGATGTGAGTAATAGGACCAAATGCCAGTTCTCTGGAAGAACAGCACATGTTCTTATTAGTATTAAAATATTTACCATCATAAGATTAAGTTTAAATGTAAGGATGTAAAAGAAATTATTATTTTTGCAGTACCTTTTTAAAGTTGGGGGATAGATGGATGGATAAGAGATAGTGAACTGAGAACGACCTAACTTACCTGTAACATACCAACAATTTCTACCTTGTTGAAAAAGATGAAAGAGTGAAGTGTTGATAACATGTTTTCTTCAAAGACTGAAGGGGTGGGGAGAACCATATCTTGTATATACTGAACTCTGTATGTCTGATGAATTTTTTGTTTCAGCTCAGGATCTGATATCGGAATCACTTCTTTAAACTTGGCTGTTTTTGTTAAAAATTCCCTGTGTTTTCGTGGTTGTGATAAAGTTGGGTCATATTCCAAGCATCCAATGACGTCCATTATACAGTCCTCAGAGAACATAACCTCAAAAAGAGCAGTTCGGTTCAAGAGGAAGATCCCTTTGATAATTTCATATAAGTGGTGCAGTCCTTCAATGTTTTCCAAATCTTCACACACATGAAAAAGCTCTAAAAGCTTTTTAATATAACCCTCATTTTCCAGTGCTAGTGCGAGTTTCTCACGACGGAGGGGGGAAGGTAAAGATGATGCCACAAGCTCTGCAATTTCCTCCAGTCGACTTAATTCACAAGATGGCAATTCTAAACCTGGTGAGGACATATCATCAAATCGCTCCTCTTCTGATTCATCTACCAGGTCTTGAGTGATGTCCACTGAAGGGTCCTTTCCTTGAACCTATATATAAAAAAAAAGATTCTGTGGTAGTTGACAAAATTCAAATAGTAAATCTAAGCAATAGCCTTAAATGAAAGAGACATTAAAAAAAGCTGTAATGACAAATATCAAGTTTGAAGACTCTTCTCTCAAACCTGAAACAACTGTCTACTATGCTGTAATTTTCCAAATGACATTTTCATGTTTATGCAAACTAATCAAAAGTTGAAGAACTTAGTAAAAGCTCTCCTGAAGTACAAGTGTCAGGCACAACTTTACTTCAAGACCTACAAGACAGAGGACCAAATACATCAGAGAGTCTTCTGTCCATGGACATCTTTTCTTAAGCAGGAAAACTCCACATTAATATTCGAGGACCATATATTGAATAGTGCCATACACCGAATAGTACCAAGCTCATCAATATTTAAGTAAAATTCAAACGAATATCAAATATAATAATGCTAGTCATAAAGAATACACATAATTCTAAGACAAAAAGGAAAAACATCTAATTTCAATTGATCACAAAGGCAAACTAGCTTTGGACCAAAGTGGATCAATGGTCTGTTGTAAATGCTAGGTAATAGCCCTGGTGTGGGACAATTCTATTCTGTCAATTATATTTTAAATAAACGTTGATTGGCCGGTAGCCAGGCAGGAAGGATAGGTGGGAAAACCAGACAGGAAATAGAGGTGGGGCAATGAGAACAGGAGTATTCTGGGAAGAAGAAAGTTCTTTTTCTACAGTCCTGCCCAGACACCGAAGAAGCAGGATGTGACCTGCCCCACATGGCACCGAGCCATGTGGCTAACATACATAAGAATGGGTTAATATAAGTTATAAGAGCTAATATGAAGCCTGAGCTAATGGGCCAATCAGTTTATTATTAAAATATAGTCCTCTGTGTGATTTTTTTTGGGACATAACAACTGCGGGAACCAGGCAGTTGTAATGCAGGACAGTTGGAGACAGGACCAGAAACCCCAACAAGCAAGACCCATGCGTTACAAGCCCTATGATTAAGAAAAGTTAATTAGGACAAAGTGCACCAACATAATAAAGCTACATATATAGTAAGTGAGATATCTAAGTGTAGAACTGTCCACAGGATTATCTGCCGAAGTAAAAAACTAGTTGTTAAGCTGGGCAGCGTTGGTGCATGCCTTTAATTCCAGCACTCAGGAGGTAGAAGAAGCAGGAGGCCGCTCTGTGAATTCAAGACCAGCCTGGTCTACAAAGGGAGTTCTAGGACAGCCAGAGCTGTTACACAGAGAAACCCTATCTCAAATAACAAAAAGCAAACAAAAAAGCAAACTAAGCATACAAGAAACTAGTTGTTAAGACCCTACTGCTGAAAACACAAGCCTGTGGTGCAGGACACAGACTCTGGTGGTGGTGGTGGGGCGCCCATGAAGACAAGACAGACACACAAGACCGAAACTAATACTGACAGATTTTGCAAGGGTTGATGGTTGAAGTCTTGAAATATGCTATAAAGTGATATGATTTTGACTTAAACCAGTGGGTAGCACTATTGAAAGAATGCTACACATATTCAATCTCTACCACAAATACTTTAAAGTTGGTTCTGTGTTGTTAATTATACAAGTTTTCATTACAGCTATTGGTTCATAAACCAAGTTAAAGATAAAAATGTACCTCTAGCATTCAGCTCTAATAACTGCTAGCAAGAAGGATACTTGAAAATGGGAGCATTTTTAGCTGTTTTTATATCAAAAATGATGAATGATTCTAAGAATGAGAAACACCTAAGAGCTCTGAAGCAAAATGCAATGACTTCCTTAGAGTGAACCATGATACAAAAAACTGTTTAAGGCAAAACCCATGAAATAGTAACTGAGAAATGACTCTTAGTGGATATTTATTTTAAAGGTCGAGTCTTACTTTTCATTGCCAGACTGACCTAGGGCTCTCTATGTAGAAAAGTTTAGCCTAGAATTTCTATCAGTTGTCTTGCCAGGGCCACCAAGTGCTGGGATTATAGGTGTGAGTCACCATGACAAGAAATGGCAGTTTAGTGCACATATACTAAAACTTGAACGATACAGAGAAGATCAGCATGGACCCTGAACAAGGATGACATACAAATTCATGAGGCATTCCATATGTTGCAGCAGCTCTGTCTACTTTACAAACCAGTCAACTGATTCCCCCCTACAAAAGAAGAAATGACAGTTTAAATATGAAGTTGGACAGGAAAATTAATGCCTGAGTAAATTGCTGCGAGAAAGTATACAAATAATGCATTATCTGTGTCACAAATGAAGATAGGTAAAAAACACATGGCATCAAAGACTATAGAAGTTGGACAGGGTGGTGCATGCCTCAAATCTTAGCACTTGGGAGATGCAAGTAAGATAAGCAGGTTTTAAGGTCAGAGGCACCTGCCTAGTAAATTCAAGTCTGGCTGGGTTATGATCCATCTCAAAAACAAACAAACAAACAAACAAACAAACAAAAATCAAGACAAGATAAGCTGGAGAGATGGTTCAGCACTTACAAGTGCTCTATCACGAGGACCCTGTTCAGAACCCAGGAACCAGGTTGGATGGCTCACCAATACCTGTAACTCCAGTTCCAAAGGGATCTAGTACCCTCTTTTGGACTGACACTAGCATACACACATAAACTCAGACAAAGAAACATAAACATAAATAAAAACAAGTCTTAAAACCACAACAATATAACAAAGACTGGGGAATAGTCTCAGAATGTAACTCAGATGGAAGGAAATTTAAGCCAATATACCCCAGATACTTCCATGTCCATGTTTACTACACCATTTAAAACAGACAAGATAAAGAACCAGCCCAGAAGCACACCATCAACAAGTGGATAGACAAAGCAAATACGGTATATGTACTTAATGGGAGTTTTACTCAGTTATAAAGAATAAAATGTCATTTGCAGGAAAACGAATGGAAATAGACATCATTAGGTTAAATAGACTAGGGTACGCGTCTTCTTACGCACAGATTAGAATTAAACAAGACATGAAAGTAGAATAAGGTCTTTATGGGGTGAAGAAGAACTTTTATTCATTCATTTATTTATCTTCCTTTTTTTTTTTTGAGACAGAGTTTCTCTGTATAGCCCTGCCTGCCTCTGCCTCCCAGAGCACTGGGATTAAAAGTATGTGCCATCATGTCAAGTAGGACTGTTTTTCTTGTAGTTGCTCCCACCTCAGCTGACAACTCCATGCTTCCTTTTGCTCAGGCCTGAGTCATGAGTCGCCCTTGGCTCCCTCCTTGCCTTCTGCCCCATGTCTGATCATCTGAGATTGTGCTGTCTCTGCCCCCAAAATCCACTGATGCTAGCTTGCCTCTCATTGCCTAGCATCTCAAGTGGGTAACTTCTCTTTGTCCCACAGTTAATCCTCAGCACAGGAGCTGCTATGGTTTGGGTAAGTGTATCCTGGAAGGAGAATATCTTAAGGGGGAACCAAGAGTTAGGTAATAGAAAAAAGATAACTACATGCATTCATAGAGAGAATCTTGACTTAAAACGTGACAAAAGCAGAACTACTTGAAGAAAAAGGGAACCAGGGGAGGAAAGACAAGGAAAGTAAAGGGGGTATGAACAAGGATAACAATGTTATTTATATTTAAGTATCATTATGAAACCCATTTCATATATTTTTGTATGTTGAGTGAAAAATTAGAGTGTGTTGTTTCTCTATTCATAAAATTACCTGACATATTTTCTCCCAAATTTCATCACATCCAGCTTTTTCTTGAAAGCTAAGGGCCAAATCATAATTTTCTGCTTCAGACCACACAATCAGAGTGTCCTTTGGGTTAAAAAAAAAAAAAAGTCTGAATGACTACATGTGTTATCACAAACTCTTTAAGATATAGCAAATGAATAAAGCAACAAGGCAACAGGAATTAAAAACATCATTTTTTACATTTCTAACACTGCCTACTGGTAATTATTAGTGCTTTGTTATACTTTATTCTGTCAAATCAACATAAATGAAACAATATTTTAAAAATAGAAGTTTGGCCAATATATGAAAAACACTATAAAAGGCATACATAATACTTACATTCTAAAAGGAAAATACAAACCATTTGCACCAAGACCATCTTCACACATTACAATTTTTAAAAAGGCTTATATATTTTGGTGTTTTCTTTGCATGTATGCAACACCTACGGAGGTCAGAAGAGGGCTTTGGATACCCTGGAGCTGGAGTTACATACAGATGGTTATGAGTCGCCATATAGAAGCTAGGATTCAAATCCAGGTCCCTTGGAAGAGTAGCCAGCGTTCTTAGCTGCTGAGCTTTTTTCCCCAGCTGTCACTGTATTTTATAGTATCATTAAAGTGCCCAACAAAGAAGTCACAAAATGGATCAATAAATAAAGTCCATTTCTCCACTCAGTTGGCAACAACTGTTCTTTACCTGTGGCTTACTTAGCCTCTGAAATTACTGACTTGAACAAGCCAGGCATGAATGAGCCATACCTTAATCCAATACTTAGAGGGCTGAGGTAGAATGACTAATGACTGCCTTGAGTTTGAAGCTTGCTTGAGTGGTTTTAGCTGCTAGGCTCAACCTGAAGGAGCACTAAATGTGGGTTCTTGAGGATACACCAAATGGCAATCCTGTCAGAGCACCAGAAAGGAGCACTGACCAGTTTCTGGAGCTAAGCTGGAATTCTTGTCTTACCCTTGGAGCAAGAGTCTACCAGATACACTTCCAAATAGAAAGGCTTGAGTAATGGGCTCCCTCTACCTAGCCTCTGGGAGGTCTTCCTCATAAGCCCAGCCTCTCCTGTGGCCTGGATGAAAAGAGAGTTCCCAGCCCCTATTAGCCATAGCCTGGACTAAAAAGTCCTATATTCTGGGCCAGCCTCTAACCAGAGGCTGAGTTCTTCCCAGGGATCCATGGAGCTACCCTAAACCCTAAAAGCCCTCAAGGTTTAGATCCAGAAGGACTGGATTCAAGTGAGTGCTGGAGCTGTAGTTGCCCCAACCTGTCGGAGGGAGGGATTTGCAAGTCTCACGAAACCCACAGTTCTTAACACATCCCCATATCCTTCTCATGTTCCTCAAAAACATTTCTACAAGTTTCCAGTCTAAAAGTGGGATTGGGGCTAATGGATGTTTTTCCTTCGGTGGTTGCTGCTCCTGAACTCTTCAAAGCACCTACCTGCACTCCCCAACATGTTGCATTGTAAAAATTCATGTTGTTTTATGTTTGAAGCAGGAACGTACCTGTCCAGGCTTGCCTGCCTCAGCCGAGTACTGCATTACAGGTATGTAACACCAGCATATTTGTTCTATGCTCCACAGTAGTTCTATTTGTCTGTTTTGTTTTTGTTTGGCAAGGCCTCAGACTTTATAGCCAAAGCTTCTGATCCTTTTATCTTCCACCTGCAAGTGCCGAGATCACAAGCATGCACTACCACACCCAGCCCCTACCAATACCAACTTCCTTTTAGTCTTATTTTAATACTCAAGGATATAAGTTTTTCATACTTGCACTTTCAGGGTCATAAAGAGATTTCTTTATGTCAATGACTTTGTGGAGCACATTTTATTTGTGTATGCAAAACACTTCATTCTATCTGCAGATAGATAGCTCTGATAGCACAGAAAGGAACTCCAATCACTTGGCTGAGTTAGTAGTTGATGATTACAGCAACGGTTACTTTTTCCTTCAGGTAAAAATAAAACTGCTACTTTAATTTTAGAGAAACATGTGTTGCTAGAATATCTGGAATATGAACTCAGATTAAGACAGCTTCTTTAATTTTTGAATTAAAATTGTGGCTGAGGACTGGGGAGAGAGGCTAAATGGATAAAAGCACTTACTTTTCAAGCCTGACAATGCCCCCAGAACCCAAGGCAGAACAAGTGAACTGATTCTTGAAGAACCCAGTTCAGATCCCAGCAACCACGTCAGGCATCTCATAAACACCTGTAACTCCAAGGGATCCAACACTTTCTTATAGCTCTGCAGGTACCTGCATACTTGCAACATGCAAACATACACTCAAATACACATAAATAAAATAGTGGCTGACAACATAGTTAAGTGAGTACATGTTTGTCAGCCTGCAAGAGGCTTAGAATTCATTACCATCAAGCAAACAAACAATAAAAACAACAATAACAACAAAAACCCAAAACAAAAAAACAAGGCTGGAGAAATGACTCAGTGGTTAAGAGCACTTGTAGCTCTTGCAGAGGATCCGGGTTCAGTTTCCAGCACACACGTGGGTGCTCACAACCACTCCTAACTCCAATTCAGGAGGACTGATATCCTCTTCTGACTGACACCCAACTCCTGAAGACACCAGTAATGCATGTGGTACAGACATATATACAGGTAAAATCCTTGGATACACATAAATTAAAAAAAAAAAACCAAACATCTTTTAACCACATACAGACTGAATTCACATTGTAGAGAGAATCAACTCTCTCAAATTGTTCTCTGACCTCCATGGGCAGGCTGAACCACCCCCCACAGTGTAATAAAATATTTTTTTTCCAGAAATCAGATTGGCGAAATGTTATAATCTGTTTTTGACTTTCTTATTGTAAAGAATCAATGGTAAATTTATTTAATCACCAAACTAGAAAGATAATGCATAATGCACAACAGCTTCACTTTTTTTTTTTTTACCTGTTGTTTCTGATATGCAGTGTTAGGATTTATTTTGGACTCTAGAAGAAGAGAACCTATAAAACAGGAAAAAAAGCTGTTATTACAAAACAGAAAAATTAGATATCCTTCACATACATATGCTTATTTTCTCAGTTGCATGTACACCTTCAGTTAAGGAACAGAATGTAATTTGGTGCTGGCCAGATGATGGCTCAGCAGGTAAATGTGTTCTCTCCAAGAGCCTGACAAGTTGACTTTGGTTCAGGAACCCACTGTGGAAAGGAACCTATCCTGAAGGCTATCCCCTGACTTCTACATGCCCACCTTGACAATACAGTTATTTCACATATACAAATAAAACAATGAGTGCAACAAAAACTGCAAATATAACTTGCAGCTTGAGAAACACACACTGTTTTGAGTGATTTATTTTTGGTGGTAGTAGAGGTCAGTCCAAGTCTCAAATGTGCTGGGAAGTACAGAGCTATA